CGTTGCCGGACACGGAAAAAGGACAAAAAAAAAAAAAAAAAAAAAAAAAAAAAAAAATCCAGTACTTTTACCAAGTTTCATATATGTACATATTTATGATAAGATACTGATCTTGCCATGGGCAAAGAGATAGAAATGATACTCAGACCTCGTAAAGACTAAAACATCATACCTTATTTTGATTGCTGTGTTTGGAATTTATTTCATAAGCCTGGAAAAAGAATGGAGAAATTCTGTTATGAGTGATGCTTTCTGAATTAGGTTTTGATGGTTTTCTTTACTTGTTGCTCTGTTGGTTTAGAACAGGTAGACTATTCTGCAATCTGAATTAGTCCTTGAATTTGACATTTTCCATATGTATATACTTTTTTCCCTAACATATTTTAACTGAGTCAGATCACCTTCACTGTAGAGAAAAATCAAGGTGTCATTGGTTCTTTTGTTGTTCTGCCAAATTGGGTCACTTACTGTAACACCCACCTTTCACCACTAAGTCTCCTTGTTCTTTAACTCTTATTTTTATTATATGCTTGATTTAAAGTTATACAGCTGGCAATAATAATCACATACTTATGATTCAGAAAAGTATAATATCCTCTTGAAATCTTTATGATAAGTAATACTTGTTTCAAAATATTCAGTGGCAAATCTTGCTGAAGAATGATCTTGCAGAAATCTGATTATGAAGGAGAAAATCTAAAAAGGCAAAGCAAGCTTCAGTAGAGATAACACTGGGAATAGTAGTTACTTAAATAAAACCGAAAGAGAAGGTTGTACTCCTTTTCTTTCACTTCATTTTGGTTTTTTGTTTTCTGGATTTTTTAAAAATTTAAATAATTAGGTAGATATGGTATATCTCTTTCATTTGTGTATAATACAAAACTTTAACATAATGACAATTTATGTTTTCTTTGTGAATGTTAAATGGATCCTTTCCATAACATGTAATTATCTCTAAAAACCATTTGCAGTCTCTTTTATAGCAATATTGTGTTGACTTATAAAATACTATATATCATATAAAATGCCATTTCCCACGCTGTACTTTCATTTGGAGTTAATGTTTCAAATTCTAGAAGAAGCATCTAACACTTAAGTATAATTTGGTATCAGTGAAAGTGCTTACTAGTTTTTCTCACCAAGTGCTACTAATAAGACATACTGAACAAATTTTGTAGGTGATTTGAAGAGCTTCTAAATTCAAAATCTTACATGCAGTTCAGTGACAAGTACTATGAAAATACAGAATATATTGAAAAGATTACAAAGGAAAGATGTAGTGTTGAAAGATAAATTTAGAGCTTAAGTAATATGCCACACAGTACTAGTAGTAGGAGATTAATTCAGGCCAGTTCACAACTGACTTTTTTTTCCCACATACCTGAAAGCTTGCTTTATTTATAAAGAGTGGTTAAACTATCTGGAGAACCACTTCCTTGATTTTCCATAGAAGCAAATATGTTATGCTGGTAGACATTTATGTTCAGGAATGGCATAGACATTTGTGTTCAGAATGGGCATATTCTCTCCTCATTCAGGAAGTTGGTGGGGTTTCAGCATGTGAATATTGACTGTCTTCTCTCATTTTTTATTTACTACTTGTTTTTCTTCTTCTTCCACAGCAGTCAGTCAGTAAGGACAAGTCCCAGGATTTCAGACTGCGCACAGAACCTATGACACAGTAAGCAACGTCTCCTAAATAATTTGCAATGATAAATAGTTGAATTGTTTTTTTAAGGACAATTTTTCCATTTTCCTTTTTCATAACGTATGATCACACTATAAGTTAAATTTCAGATAATTGACTTTTTAAAGAGTTTAGCTAGTTTAAGGAGAACATTGTAATGGTTGGATTTTGAGAATGTATTTATTACAAAGTATAAGAAATAATATTAAATAAAATAGTCACACTAAACTTCAGAGGACCCATTTTGTCATTTATTTTTGTTTTAGTAACATTTTGAAATAACACTAACTGAAAACAAGTGAATGATGTGGTAAAAATAAAATCATGAAATGACTATTTTGAGGTATTAAAGAAAGAAAGCTATACCCAGAACATTATCATTGGATATTTTCTATAAAGGCCTAATGTTTATTGAATAATTTATTTTGAGGTATTTATTTTAAAAGATTTCTGGGAAGTTTTTATATTTTTATTTGGTACTTACTGTGTCAACTAATACACAGATAGAAAATCCCTCTTTACCTCAAAAAAAATTTACACCAAAAAACCCTCTCAAAATATTTCAATTTTTATCATTTCAGATTCTCTTTTGAACCTAATACTAATACTAAGCCTGAACTTCATATCCACACTACATCACTAACAAAATATGACATGAGTGTAACAGTCTTGAACAGCTTAGGTGTCGGTCGTGCACTCCGATCCCGCCACCACCCGAACATAGACGTATCTGTGCATCTTGCACACATGCACACATAGACAATCCCTGGAAAATATTTTTCCAAGTTAACCCTGCTATATGCTTTGACATTTTGAAGAATAATATGCCATTTCAAAATTTATGCTTCCATTTCAAAAATTCTGATTCAGATGACAGTAATTTACAGGAATTGTCAAATAAAACTGTGCAGTATTTCATAAGACAGTATTTCCTTTTACAGACAAACATAATTTTTTTTTTCTTTTTTTTCTTTTTGTCTTTTTTCGTGACCGGTAACGGGATCGCAACCCTCGGTGTCGCGCCCATACCGCACTCAACCAGTGAGCAGACCGGTCTCTATATGGGATCCGAACCCTCAGCGGGAGCACCGCCACACTCTCAAGCGCCGCACTCTACCGAGTGCACCACTGGGCCAGCCCCAGACAAACATAATTTTTAAATGGACTTTAAAAGGGTCACAGAATCATGATCTAGAAGATACCTTAGAAATTCTTTCTATAAATCCTCTCATTTATAGTTGAGAAAATTAAGGGGAAAGGCCTTGTGCACGTTTCACAGTGCACATTTATGTCAGCACTTGGACCAAGATCTTTGTCTCTTGATTCCCAGACTGCTGACTCTTTTTGTTTGTTTCTTTTTTAACTAAATTCAGTGTTCATGGACTCCTTGATAAGGTATCATTTTGTTTTAAGTTTTCTTTCTTTAGGGGATAAAATTTCTATTGATAATTATATAACTATATATAGCCCTATATAGCTTCAGAGCACATTCACTCAACTTTCTCATAACGTCCCTGGGACAGAGACAGACCAGTATTCTGAGCCCTGTTTTACAGAGAAACAAGATCTGAAAGGTTGTACCTTGTCTCAGGTCACTGAATGTGTGGTACATGGCAGACCCAGTACCAAAACACAGGTCCTCTGATTCCAGTCTCCTGTTCTTTCCATGCTTTCTCTCTGTGGTACAAACATACATCCCAGGTCTTTCAGGTTTTTGTTTTTATCTGCCAAATATGTTTCCAGTTCCAATCTCTGAACAATTAAAATTTTACATAATAAAGTCACTGACCCTAAGGATGTTATACTCAGTGACAGATTACACATATAAAATATAGACTGGAACAAGGACAGATTCTTTCAACAACCAAAAAAATGAGTATATTTAATACATTATGGGAATAATGCTCTCGATGTCTTTGAACATGTTTTATAAAAATGTTTAGAATTTTTTTACTTAATTTTATGTAAATGAAAGAGTGCCTTCTACATACACCTCAGTCTGACTACATTGGATACTTGTTTTCAGGTGATAGATACAGAGATCCACATCATGCCTCACAAACATTTCAGCTTCTAAAAGCTGTCATGATAGCTCAGGTTCTCTTTTTGAACATAGAGCACTTAAGAAGCTTTTGAAAATAAAAAAAAAATTTTTCATGAGAAGTACATGCATGAACTGAAGCAACACACTGTACCCCACAAATATGTACAAATAAATGTTAAAATTAAAACACCCCCCCACTTAAACTGTATACTTTAAATATGGACAATTTATTATATATCAAGTATATTTCACTAAAAGTGTGAATAAAAAAATTTTTTCATGAGAAGTTCACATACATATAACACAAAACCTGACCTCTTCTCACTAAGTCCATTGTTTTGACTCTTTTTCAAAGCACCATCAGGTCTTGCCTGGATAACTTCAATATTATCTTAACTGGTCTGTCTGATTCCACCCCTATCCATTAACGTCTATTATCTCAAATGTCAGAGTGATCCTGTTAAATTTTAAGTCACTCCCTATATTTAATGGCTCCCTATTTCACTTAGTGTAAAAGTCTTACAATGGCTTACAAGGTCTTGTTACTTTATCTGATCTCGTCCATGCTCTCCCAATTGCTTACTCTACTCCAGAAACATGAATTTCCTTCCTGTTTCTTGAGGATACCAGGTATGCTCCTGCCTCAGTGCCCTTTGCACTTGCCCTCCACATATTCACATTATTCATTTCTCTGCCTCCTTCCACTCTTCTCAGTGGGGCCTTTTAGGATGCTCTTATTTAAAACTGTAAACTTCACACCTCCCTCTCCTATTCCCTATCCATGCTTTATTTTTCTCTATAGCATAGCACACATGTGACACAGACATTTTACTTACTTTACATGTAAGTAAATAAAATGTTAGCTCCTTGTGGTAAGAATTTTTATCTGTTTACTGTTGGATGCCTAGTCCCTAGAATATGTAGAATATTGTGTGATGTGGTAGGTGCTCAGCAAATACACATTTAGCAAATGACTATGCACTGTGCCTGTCTTCCTTGCCAAACTGAGCACTCCTACAAGGTACACACTGTGTATCATTTGGTAACTGCATTTCAGTTAGTACCTAGCACAGCACCCAGTACAGATAGCAGATGACCAGCATTTTCCCCAGTGTATTGATGCTGACAAACAAACCACTGTTGCTCACCTTGAAAGGCTGCTCCTGATCTCTCCTCTTTTAGCAGTACCATCAAGGTCTAGAACAAGACCAACTCTTGATACAGACACATGATGCTTGCTCAACCTCAGGTAAAATGCTGGGCAAACACAGCAAGACATGTCTCTTTCCCCTACCTTCTAATCATCTGCTGCTCCCCAAACTCTCTCACTCTGCATTCTCTAGAGCCACCATCTCTATCCTGTTTTCTTCTCCCATTGCAAATCCCCAACCCACCAATTAGTCTCCTCCCAGTTCATCTCCTTGCTAGTTCCCCTCTCTTTAGTACTGTACAATCCTACACTCTGAAGTACCTGCTTCTTTCCTGCATCACATCCAAAAGCCCTACTTGTGTCAAAGCTCACTTTAAGCCTTACCTCCTCCTAGAAGCAGTCTCTAGCAACCTTACTTCCCCTGCCTTCTCATTCTCCTCTCTTCCTGGAATTAAAATTGGCATCACACTATTTAGCATCTAATTATATATAATGTATTGCCTTCTAAATGCTTCTCATTTCTATCTCCTCATCTTATCTATAATACTTATATATCTCTCAATGCATCTAGCTCGGTGCTGAGCACACTGTGGTGTCACATACACTACAATGAATGGATGTGATTTCAGAAATGGGGGGAGAGGGTGAGAAAATGGCTGAAAAATGGATAATCAAAGTAAGAACTCCGACGAAAATTTGCAAATAAGTATATTTTAGGGGAGGAAGGTAGATTGTAAGCTACCTCCTACCTCCTCATGAAGAGAAGAAGAAACGAAGAAGCTTGGAATAGATTATATAGATGAAAAAAATGTATAGTGGAGAAGTGATAGGATCCTTAGGATACTTGGAATTGACATTTACGGCTGAATTATGTTAAGAGATTTCATTCATTCATTTAGTTCACATTTGAGTGTTTATAAATAAAGGGCTTTAATATCATTGACCACCTGAATTAACTTCTCTCTGACCAAACGCGCTAATGAAGTAAAGCATTCTATGTTTTAAAAACTCCACAAAACTTAATATAGAACATTTTAGTAACTAGAGAACACTAATACTACTTATTAAGGATTATAACATATTTTTAGAAACTTCATTACGAACTTGGGAAGCAGATAATGACATCAGCAGTATGAGGTACAAAGAGTGAAAGTTTAAGACTTTTAAGAAAATGCCTTTGTTAAATTAACCTATAAAATTTTCTTCTTGATACTTTAAAAAGAAAGTGTAGCTTTACTAAAATGTCTATAAATTATTTATGTAGAAGTGATCGATATTTCTCAAAAAATGAATAAACAAGACAAGAAATTCAAGTGGAAAGTGGTAAGAGGCAGTCTGTGACATTTATATATTTTGGTCAACAAGCTAATAAGCAAATGTTGCAAACTGAAAGGTAGGGCTTTAAAAAAAAAACAAAAAAATTAGCTCCTATCCATTTACTGGGTACAACGAACTAATTCAGGTAAATTAAAGAAGAAATGACTTCTTTGTACATACTTAGCATGAGAAATTTCTTAACTCATCCTTACTTGTAAGAAATTATGAGAAAGCTCAAAGACTTTAAATGAACTTGAGCATTTAGGCATATGTGAACTTCTCATGAAAAAAATTTTTTTATTCACACTTTTAGTGAAATATACTTGATATATAATAAATTGTCCATATTTAAAGTATACAGTTTAAGTGGGGGGGTGTTTTAATTTTAACATTTATTTGTACATATTTGTGGGGTACAGTGTGTTGTTTCAGTTCATGCATGTACTGTACATTGATTCACTTAGGGTAGATAGTATAGCTTTG